AATGAGTACTGGTGAAGGGAGAGGTGTTTGATCATTGTATGACCGAGACTTAAACCTGAAAGCTTAGTAACTTTTCCCATAGTGATTCAATAAATAAATATAAAAAAATAGATAAATAAAAAAGTAAGATGGAGTTCATGCCCAATCTAATCAGCTCATCAGTGGCTGAATAAATTGCAGTACTCCTACATAAAAAAAAGTAAAAAGAAAAAGGGAGTCGGTAATTGAAATTTTATATCACCAATGCAATACTGTACCCTTTCTGAAAAGTTAGAACAAATGTATCAGTCTCAACCTCACATTCACTCTCCAAATTACAATTACAATAGGTTGTGTGATGGCTGTATAAAACCCTGTCTTTAGTGCGAGAGTACTGACGAGGGCATGCCCAAGAAACGCAGTGTTTACACTCCTGCCCTTTCCGGGGCAATGGATGACTGCCTCTGCATCACCTGTAAGGTTTCATCACAGAACATAAGCAAGGCCTGGAAGCCTCACCCCAAGTCTGATTTACAGATAGATACGTTTCCAGTGAAATCAGCTGCTATCAGATTGAATTCTGTCGCTGACTTGACCTGGTGATGGCTATTAGTTCATGCCATGGCTCTAGCTTTAATGGACCGAGTTTCTATCATAAAAAGTTTATGCATCTGTGGGGGTATGAAGGACAAAAGGGAACCCCCCCCCTCCATAATTCAGTAAAATATTTAGGTGTTGATGAATTTAGTTATCTTTACCTTTTAAACAAGTAATATATATATAAAATTTATGTACCATTTAATGATGGTGACAATGAACTGCCTTATAAAATTCTTGGCACTTAACAACGAGCTTTTGGGGAGTGAAACTCAGCCCTTCATCCTCCCCTCAAAGTACTTCATAAAGGAAAATTCATCGACAGGCAGAATCTGGAATCCCACTATTTTCACACTGGCCCTACACATTCAGCATTAAATCACTCAATAATCACACTGGAACAATCGCAGGGAGAAACCAGAATGATCCTCTTATTGAAGGCGGGGGGTGGGGGGGTGTCTCAAAGTAGTGCTGGGGATTTGGTTCCTGGCACTGTATGATTCTCTGAGCACAGAGCGGGGAGTAGCTCCTGAGCACCACCTGGTATGTGGCTCAAAGACCAGAATAAGAAGGAATGGGAGTGGTGGGGGGAGGGGACGGGATGGGACAACAACCCAAAAGCCAAAGAGGTGGAAGTATGAAATTAAACACAATAATCCAAACGCAATCATCTGCACTTTCACAACTGCTACTCCTCTACGGAGGAGAAACACTAAGCACCCTCGGACAGGAAAAGGGTTGCTTGTCCCCCAGGGCTCCAACAACCAGGTTGTTTCCTGGTTTAACTTTAATGTGGTCACTGCTGCTGCTATGATGGCCGGGAGTCCAACTCCTGGGCGCAGCACTTGCACACTGGCCGCGGTATTCCACAGAGCACTTTGCTGTGTGGCACTGGGATCAAAAGCGGCAGTGCTGAGATGTTCTGTGCGTGTGGGCGGTGCCAGCATCCAACCTGAGGTTTCATGACTGCAAAGCAGGAGCTCTACCCTTGAGCCACACCCCAGACACAGAAACCAGTAGTTGTATCCATGTAAGTAGCATCATAGCCAACAGGAAGACGTAGTCATACTTAATCCCCAAACGCTGGGGAATGGGTTCATGCAAACACCAACAGTGCTTGCTCTGTGTCTACGCGGTCTATTGCGGTGTGAATTCCCAAGGATAGCTTGTATTTGGCCAACTGCGCCTGATAAATGGCAACGAATGCTTATTTAAATAGCTGGAGTCCTCCCTTCCAACTCCATTTGGGGCTGGAGAGAGAGCTATGAAGGGCTGAGTGCACGCTGTGCATGCAGAGTCCTGAATCTGATCCGTGGCACCGCAGAGGCCCCTGGGCACTGGCAGGAGTAGCCCTGGAGCACTGTCAGGGGTGGTTCAACTCCCTCCCCCACCGAAACAATTGTAAATACCCTTTCTGCTCTCCCTTTATTTAGAAAGTAGATGGAACCCTGAGGAGCAGCTGGTGAGGGAGGAGTGACTGAGGGGTGTGCCTTGCACACCTGCCTGAGTTTTTGGCATCAGACTGAGCCCAGTTTTGACCATTGGGCACTCTTGGGTGTGGTACCTCATGCCGTTCGGTTTAGCTTCTCTGAGACAGTCTTTGCGCAGGCTGACACCTGTGACTGAACAAAAACCGAGTTTGGATAATGCCGCAAAGAAGAGTAGTAGCTGGACTCTCTAGTCAGACTGAATAGCAGACGGGTGGCTGGGTGGGTTGCACAGAGTCAGGCACCCAGGAGGGCTCTGGTTTGACTGGACTGTTGATCTCCAACAGGGGCTGGCTGTCAGGGGCTGAGAGACATCAAGCTGGTCCCAAAGAGCTGCCGACATAGGCCAAACAGAGATCTTGGTCTAGAAAATCTTACTTCATCTGACCCTGGAGAGGGATGACATCCATAACCACTTCTGATCGTGCCCCCAGCTTTACCTGTACCCCATCTGAGGGAAAAGATCTGTCTAGAGAGCTCAGCACAGATGAAGAAAACACGGTGCTGTTCTGTCTAACGTATGATGGACACTTACTGAACGAGCACTAAACAGAGATTCTAACAACCACTTTTTGAGCACATTTACACAGTTCGTGATCTCTTCAAACAACCACCTAGATGGTGCGGTTCCATAGGAAGACTCTGTGTGCCAAATTCTCTATGAAGAAGCTGAGAAGATTATTTTGTTCAGGTTCAAAAAACTGTGTGCGGTAGAATTAGGATTCTTGCCGACTTCTGCCTGATGTGATTCTAAGTCTCTTTTAAAGCAACATATTAAAAACTCAAAATAACTTCAAAAAAAAAATCAGGTTCGTCAGGAACTTAATAGTATATTTGTACTCTTCATTAGGGTTTTGACTTCTGCTTCCCTTTTCAAAACACATTACTCCTTAAATTAATAGGCACATTATGATGAGAATAAGAGCTGACAGGGTGTTTATTGTTGCTGCTTCTTGGGTGGTTGAGTCTGCAGCCTCATGATTAAGCCCGCAGTGAAAGTATGGCAGGGTCCCAGCATGACACATCTTAACGTGTTTTATGGTTTGAAGGGGGAATTACCAAGGTTTTGTAAAACTTTAAACCTTATGCAAGACCTTGACAGTGGTAAATATATAATTGGTTTAGAGTGTAAAAGTACTACCTACCATGCAATGTTCACACAATTGAATCCCTTAAAATCACCAGAAACAAGAAGCTCACTGCTCTCTCTCACTGCAATGTTATCCTAACTAGAAACACAGGGACTTCAAAGCACTGCAAAAACTTTCATTCGTGTTTAAAAATTTCTATTTTTTTACTTTCTGGGTAACACCCAGTGATGCTCAGGGGTTACTCCTGGCTCTGCACGGGGGACCATATGGGATGCCAGGGATCGAACCTGGGTCAGCCACAAGAAAGGCAAACGCCCTCTTCACTGTACTATCACTCCAGCCCCTGCAATTTTTTTTTTTTAGCTTTTTGGGTTACACCCGGCAATGCACAGGGCTTACTCCTGGCTCTGCACTCAGGAAATACTCCTGGTGGTGCTTGGGGGGAAATTTGGGATGCTGGAATCGAAACTGCGTTAGCTGTGTACAAGGCAAATGTCCTACCCACTATGCTATCGCTCCAGCCCCTGCAAAAACTTTTAACAAATGATTTCTCCTAAGAGCTTTGGGAATATTATTTTATCCATCAGCTGAAGCTGAAGTATAAAGGAGAAACAAAGACGAGATTGCATTTTTGATAGCTAGAGAAAAGAGGAAAGAGAGGAGGAAGACTACTACAGGTTTTGATGGCAGAAACCTGTTGAATCCTGGGTATTGTGATGAGTCAATTCAGATGAAGAAACCATGAGATGAAGACAGTCTTTCAGAGTGGGCTATCATTAGAAATTGGGTGGTGCATGCTATATTTTTAAGTTTTAAAGGAGATGGGTTATGTTGGTAAAATTGTCTTCTGTTAATTCAATAGGTATAATGAAAATGAAAAATGCCAACGATCTTCTATGCTAACAGAAAAATGAGGATTTTAAGACACATGGCAACAAGCAGCTCTCAAGCTCCTGTCCCTATGTGCACAAGCATGTGATCTTTCTAAAACAGTCCTCTTCTGAATATGATATAAAAGGTAGACTTAAACAAAACAAAACTAATCTGTAAGAAGGATTGCCTTCAAAACAAGATTCCAACAGATAATCATCTCCCCTCCCCTGAAGGAAGCCAGGGTATGAATACCGAGAGCCCCGGCATGGAGATGCTGCTCGAACTTGCTTAATGCACATTTGGTTTTGGCACCATCAAGTCCAATGTGTTTTTTTAAAATGCTACTCTCTTGATTTTTTTTTTCCTGTAGGCAAAAAATATCAAAGAAGAGAGGGAGAAAATGATCTCTGAGAGAAACAACCCAGGCAGAAAGCTGTCATGCTCCGCGCTTCAACTTCACAAAGGAATTCAGAGGAGAGGTTTGAGCCTTTCAAATCTCTTGTCATCCAGCATATGAAATTCTAATCTAGTGGTAGGGCTAGTTGAGGCTCGGACTTAATCAAAGGTGCTGACTAGCTGAGACAGGAGGCGGGTCCCCACCGAACCTCTGGTTTCTCTCTTCAGTGGAGGCCTCACCTACAAACTGTGACAGTCATTGGCGGTGCAAGCTATGAAAATGCCAAGGTAGGGGAGGAGGATCACTGGGCACCGCATTCAGGTCTACAACCGGAAAAGTTACATCACCCGGCTTCACCTCAGTCTCATCGCTCTTTAGGGAATTGCCGAATTTTATACAGAGTCTATTTATAAACCACTGCAAGTGATACTTGCATTCATCTTGCACTGTGATATCATTTCCTCATCAATAATTTAAGCCTAAGAAGTGGATGAAAGGGACTTCTCACACAGAAGTTTCTAGAAAAAAAAACAGAAACCAACTTAACTGGCCACAATATTAATTCGGTTCTCTTACCCTGTTCTTTGATCTGACGAATTTGCTTCACAGTTTCTTTTAAGATTGCACATTTGTCAGGTTTGAAGTTAAAGTTGTCTATATCGTTGAAATTTGCAAAAATTAGTTCTGCAAGTTCTTCAATGTATTTGTTTTCCTGTTCACGATTACGCTTCTCAGTGCTTCTCTTAGGGCTAAAAAGAAGAAAGTTGTTTTTATTATGGATTTGAGAAAGAGCTACTATAAAAAATACAAGCATGCTAAACAATGTCTAATACAATGACAGCAGAAAAGCACTCTTCATGTAATGTGTGTGAAGATTAGAAAAAGAATGGGAAGCTCACCTGGTTAGAGGAATAAGAGAATTCAAAGAATTTTTGATAAAGCACAGCAAGACAACAAACATAAATCTTTATAATTTCAATGTTTTTTCTTTCTTTTTCTTTTTCGGGCCACATACAGCCAGCAGGGCTCAGGGGATATTCCTGGCTCTGTGCTCAAGGGTCACTCTTGGTGGAGTTAGGGGAACCGTTTGCAATGCTGGGGACTGAACCTGGGTTAGCTGATGCGAGGCAAGTGACCTACAACACACTGTACTACCACGCTGGGCCCTCAAAGATTTCTGTAGGGTGTCAGTAATTAAACTGACAGCCTTTTAAAATGCAAAAAGGAAAAAACTCCAAAACCCAAACAGCTAGAAACAAAAGTGCATCTGATCCCAGAGCAGCAACTATTAATCTCCCTACCTGAATGACATGCAAAATAAAGAAGTCAAAGTTTTTAAAAGTTCTTGGCATGGGAGAAAGAATAAAAATTGCCAAGATCTTCTCACTTAAATTTGATAATATACTAAACTCAGATTTTTTTTCTGATAATAGGGTGCAAATTTTCTTTCATGCAGATGGTCCATGAATGATATACAAGTAATGCAATAAGTCAGTTATTTAATAAACAGCTTTCTGTGTTTTTTATACATTGTGCATAATAATAACAATAGTATATGAAGTTTCACAATTTACAAAAACTCCTATTTATTCCCCACTTAATATTAACTTTATTTTCACAGACTACTGATTCAGAGATGAACACTGCTCACAGAAGTTACATGGTTTGTCCAACTCGTTTATCTAAAGAGTTACTGACAAAGGACAAAGTTCCTTTATCTAAATCTCATTTCTTGGTATGTTTGTTGTGGGGGCCACACTCGGATGTGCGCAGAACTTACTCTGGCTCTGCGCTCAGGATCATACTTAGCAATGCTTGGGGGACCATATGGGGTACCAAGAGTTAAACCTGGAGTGATAGCACACCAGGTAGGCGTTTGCCTTGCACGCGGCCAACCCGGGTTCGATTCCCAGCATCCCATATGGTCCCCCGAGCACCACCAGGAGTAATACTCATGGGGGCTGAGGCCGGGACATGGCCAGGGGTCACTTAAGATTTTTTTGATTTAGATGATCTTGCCCGCACGGCAAAGCGTGGCAAGCTACCCGTGATGTATTCAATATGCCAAACACAGTAACAAGAAGTCTCAAAATGGAGACGTTATTGGGCTTGCTCGAGCAAATCGATGAACAATGGGAGGACAGTGACAGTGACCAACTAGAAGGGAGAAGGGAATAGAAAAAAAATTTTTTGGTTTTGCTTTCAGGGTCACACCCAGCAATGCACAGGGGTTACTCCTTGTTCATGCACTCAGGTATTACTCCTGGTGGTACTCGGGGGACCGTATGGGATGCTGGGAATTGAACCTGGGTTGGCCGTGTGCAAGGCAAACACCCTACCCGGTGTGCTATCACCCCAGCCCCAGGGAAGAGAAAATTTTGGCCTTGGGTCCTTTCTTCTTTTCTTCCTTTCTTGATGCTTCTACTATTTTTCATCGGATCATTTTACTGGCCATTTAGTAGAAACCACCTTTTAAATTTAACATTGAAAATCAGTGGTTTTCAATGTTATGTGATTTAAAACATCGAAAAAGTAAAGTTTCTATTTCTGTTGCCTTTATTCCTAGTTCTTACCCTTCTCCCCAAATGGCTAACAGCTTTGAAGCACTTCTTAATTATCCTTCAACAATATAAAGGTAGATTCTTCCTGGAGGGCTGGTCAGAACCCGGTGACACCTGTTCGGTTGGGTCGAGGGGTTCAGTTCAGTGTTAGGGCCCTGTAGTACCTGGGACCACTTGGAAACAGTGCTAGAACTGGGGACCAAATGGGTTTCCCCACAAACCCTATGTAATTTCTCTAGTTCCAGTGATTCTTATCTTCCTTAAAAAAAAAAAAAGAAAAAGAAAAAACATAAATGGTAGCAGTCCAGGAACATTTTCTAAACCTATTTTTGTCACCAAACAATAACCACTGGAGAGGTTTTTTTTTTCCCCCCAATCAGTCCTTGTTCTTTCCCACAACTAGATTGTTCCAGGTTATGAACAAATTATAGTTATTAAAACAGCTCTATATAAACATTTAGGTTTTTTCCTAATCTTTAGCTATTATAACTCTAGTAATAAGTAACCTCGTATAGGCATCATTTTGCTTGTGAACTTATATTGCTGGGATATTCCTAGAATTGAACTGCCAGTTCAAAGAGGACATTCATTTGTAATTTTAATAAATGCTTCTAATTACCCAGCACAGAGATTATGACAACTCACACTTCCACCCATAACCATGAGATGGAACTTGCTTGAAAATTATTATTATTATTTTTTTACTCACTGAAGAGCCACAATCCTCATCATAACTCAAAGGCAAGTAAACTTAACACTGACTGCCTTATTCATCAAAAGAAGAAAATGAACAACCCTCTTCTCAAACCGAAAATAAAACCCAGTGTAGGAATAATAGTCTTTACTACTATTGATCTTCTTGTCTTCTTAATAATACATTGTGATCTATGCAGCACAATGAAAAGGTGAACTTAAGACAGAGAAGACCTGGAGCCAGAGACAGTATAGTGGGGAGGGGCTTGCAGGAGACGAACCAAGAGCTGACCCCGAGCACCAATAGTGCTCCCCGAGGCTTGTCAGGAGTGATTCCTGAGTGCAGAGCCAGAGTATGCTCTGAGCACTGCCAGGTCTGACCCCAAAGCCATAAATCAAAGGGAAAAGGAAAGAAAATAAAGGAAAAGAAAAGTTAGGTTTAGGGGCCCAAGAGAGAATAGCGTGGGGAAAGCCAAGTGCCTTGCTTGCTGCCAAGTGAGTTCAGTGCCCAGAAGCACCAGGATTGATTCCTGAGCACAGAGCAAGGAGAAAGCCCTTCTGGCCCGCCTACACCTCCTGCCCCCCCTCAGCAAAAAACAAACAAACAAAAACCAGAATAGTAAGATCTGTAGCTGATCAGCATATCCAGAATACAAGCTGAGTAATAAAGATTTGAAGATGTAGCTACTAAGGAGAAAAATCAAACAATATTTGAATGAGGAGTAAAAGTCAATGTACAAAGACTGGAGAGGCACATCTGTGGTTTTCAGGGGCCCATCAAACGTCCCTCAGCCGAATCTCACCTGGGTCCAAGCTGGTCAGGACATTCCTTGCGCTTTCGTGTCTCTGCCCTGGATGGGTCAGAGGTGTTTTCTCCCATCCCACTCATCTTGAACACATATCAGCAACTACAAGAGAAAACAAGGGGAAAAAGTGAAAACTGATGACAAAGTATCCTGGCCAATTTATGAACAACGCAAGAACTTTTACTTCAACCAGAAATCTGACAACTCTGATTTATGAGCACGCACAGCTTCTAATAAAAAAAAGCTACCTTTTATTCTCACTTTTCAAAAACTATACTTAAAAGCAAACGTCAACGTCAGCATTTAAAAAAGAAACAAGGCTACTCCATTGGGCCCATACTCCTTAAGTCGGGGACAGATTTCAACACCACCATGACCTGTGGTTGGCTGGCCCTGGTTTCTGCAGTCAGCCTCCAGTTTCAGGAGCGATCTCGTACCAGGTGAAACTGCAGGTGTTGTAAGGGGCTCCTCCCAGTCTCTGTTTTGGGTTGGCCAATGTGAAGCCTGTGCTGTAATAGCTCCCCCGGGACAGAGAGCCAGGAGCAGAGGCAGTTCAGGCTCTGACCAGAGGTTACTAAATCAAGCCAGGTAGCTAGGTCACTCCTGTCAGCTGAGCAGGACGCCCCACAAACATGTGTTAGTCTGGCTTCCTTGAGCCTCCTGGGGTTCCTCCCTGACAGCAGCTGTCTCCCTGCTCTGCCTCTGTCCCTGAAACCCCTCCCGGCGTCCCGTGATGGTTTCTGATCTCACACCCCGCTGAACCTTCTTTCCTAGTTAAGAATGCCCCAATCTTAGCCCCAAATCTTAAGATATACTCATAAAAAGTCAGGGAACAGGACCAGAGAGATAGAACAGGAGGTAAGGTGCAAGTTTTTTTTTTTTTAAATTGAATCACCACGAGATACAGTTACAAAACTTTCATGTTGGATTTTCAGTCATACAATGATAGAACACCCCTCCACCAGTGCACATTCTCCACCACCAATGTTCCACCAGTATACACCCCCCTTCCCAACCCTCCCCCTGTCTCTATAGCAGACAATTTCCTCCATACTCTCTTCTTTTGGGCATTATGGTTTGCAATACAGATACTGAGAGGCTATCGCGTTTGGTCCTTTATCTACTTTCAGCACACATCTCCCATCCAAAACTATTCCTCATACAACCACCATTGACTTAGTGATCCCTTCTCTCTCCCAGCTGCCTTCTCCCCCAGCTCCTGAGACAGGCGCTTGTTTTACATGAAGCCAGCCTTCGTTTAAATCCCATATTTATGACCCTACCATCCTGCCCGCTCTCAATGAGCACCATCAAGGGGGGTCCTTTCAGCACAAAACCAGGAATAGCCCCTGAGCCCCAACCCCGCCCATCCCTGCCACCTACACATATACACACACAAATATATATATACACACACGCATATATACACATACACATATTTGATTAATGTTCAGCGAATATGACAGTTAAGTATATCTTAACTACTGGATTAAGACGTTCAGGGAATCTGATATTCCCTAAACATCCTAATCTAGTGGATCCTAAATGCAGCAGACAACGACTGATTCTGCTTGCTTAATTTCTTCCAGTATGAAAATAAAAGAATATAGAATAAGCAAATCAGTATCCTGACATTTGTCATCCTTAGCAGAAGTGAAATATTTAAGTAAGCAAAGGACAAAAGTCACAGGAGCTTAAGTTCTAATTAAGCAGGGGCTGGAGAGACCGCTCAAAGGGCTGAGAAGATGTTCTGCACGACGGACACCTGGTTCAGCTCCAGCTACCCTGGGATCCCCCAAGCGCCCCAGGGAGCAATGCCTGAGAACAGAGGCAGGCCCCGGCCCCCATCCCAGGCCTGCTGGGTGCAGCCCTTGACCATTAACTAAGTCAAATGACTGAACAGAGAGAATGAAGATTTTGAGGCAAATCAAGGTTTCAAGGTTAAGCTGCTTTCACCCACTTTGTTTTCTGGTTGCTTTTCTTTTTTTCCCCCAACTGGAAAAAAAATCACACAGTACAAGCTACTAGAAGGTAAGGATTTAAGGAAGATGACGGAGAGCAACTGGTTCACCCAGAATAAGGACAAGGATGGAGAGAGCCCCCCAACCCGACCTCGCCCCCATGCTCACATACAGTCAGGCGGTCCAGCTGCTCTCTCAGGTGCAACCAGGCAAGCTTGGCTGCACTATGGTCATTTCTGAGCCAGTAAAGGAGTTAAAATTTTTTTAGAGAGTCACATGGACAGAAGATGAAGAAACACTGTATCAGTTTAGGGAGGTTGCACCAACTGCACACAGAAGGGGGCAATTCTGCAAGCTAAGCCTAGAGCTGGTAGGAGCAAAGTAACCAAGTCCCAAGGTTCTCCCGCTGTCTTGATTTGGGACTGATAGGTGCAATCTGCATTTAGTTACTATTCACTTAACATTTATTATGTGCCAAGAAACTTAGGCATACAATGTAATCTTCAGAAACAGCTCGTGAAGGGCACCAGGGCAGAGAAGTTGGAGGCCAGACCACCATCCAAGCCCCACGGTGGGACTAGATGGAATGTATTTTTTTGGGGGGGGGGCACACCCAGCAATGCACAGGGGTTACTCCTGGCTCTGCACTCAGGAATTACTCCTGGCAGTGCTCGGGGAACCACATGGGATGCTGGGAATCGAACCCAGGTCGGCTGCGTGCAAGGCAGACGCCCTACCCACTATGCTATCACTCCAGCCCCCCAGGAGTATCTTAAATGACCTTTTCCAGTGCTAAATAGCCAAACCACACAGTCAACGGACCTGAAATGGTAACACCCAAACTTTAATAACTCAATTTAAAAGGTGCCTGTCAAGATGGCAGGCTGGGAACACTGGCAGAGGGATTGGTGATGGAACACTGAGTGTCAAAAACCCAGCTATATGCATAACTCTGCAGTTCACGGTGCTTGAATAAAATCAAATTGGGGCGGGGGAGAGAAATGACCTTGTATACTTCAATTATCTCTTTCATAAAATAGGGATGATGATTAGCACCCACAGCAGTGGACTTCTGAAAGGAATTAGCAAGCCACGGAACCCTGACTTAAGGTGTCCGCACACATATTCCTGCTCTTAATTAAAATGTTAGCGCCAAAAGTCTCCTTATCAAGTAAGTCATCAATCCTCTGATCACACGCGCACTCACGGAACAGATGGGAGAAGCAGCAAGATCTGGACGGCGTGCGCTTGTGGGCCAGCTCCCTCCCCGCAGCTAAACATCACTTAGTCAGAGCAAGCCTGCTCTCCAGCCACTGCAGGCCCAGTCAAGAGCCTGTGCTGTGAGCACAGGGCTGAAGGCTGCTCTCCAGAAGAGACAGGGGAAAGTCCCGTGAGGAGAATGAGGTGACTGTGATACAGCCGATGTGACCCTTTTTGAGCTGTGATGGCCCAGAGAGAGGAACTTTTCTCTGACTGGGGTGGAGAACAGTATGAGGTGGATCCAGGCTAGTGGAATGGAGGAGAGCATTACAGGGGGTGCAGAAGGGCAAAAGGTGGAGCAAAAACCCAAACACCGGAACCCTTCACAGATGACATATTGCTTTCAGTATTTTTCACAGAAGCACAAATCTCATGGTTTCACTCATGAACATGCAAAAAGGACCGAATCCAACCTGAGCATGTTTTTAAGAAATGCATTGTCGGCTGGAGCAATAGTACAGCAGATAGGGTGCTTGCTTCGCATGTGACCGTCCCGGGTTCGATACCCAGCATCCCATATGGTCCCCTGAGCACCGCCAGGGGTAATTCCTGAGTGCAGAGCCAGGAGGAACCCCTGGGCATCGCTGGGTGTGACACAAAAAGCAAAAATTAAAAAAAAAAAAGAAAAAGAAATGCATTGTCATCCTATAAGCAGATGTCCACAGGACATAGAAATGTCAGTTTTTTATTGACATTTTATTGACAATCAAAATATACTCTTCCATATGGAACAAACTGCCTTATGTAGACAGGTATACATAACAAGTTTGTTTGATTAAAGGGTAATTCCTCATTCCCCAAGTACGACCTTGAATATAAAAAATGTTCAAATATTACCAGAATAATTAACAGCATTATCAGAAAGATCAGAAAGCTTTTTAACCACACAATTCTAATACGTGACTATTTTACTGACAGTAGCATAAGCTCAGTTGGGGGATTTAATATTAGTTCAGGCCATTTACCTGTAAACATACACACTCGGAGACTATTAACTGTAACTACAAGAGGCAGTGACACTCACACAACAAAGGATGAGAAGGACACAGGAGCAAAGCAAGGAGTTTGTGTTTTCTGGTCTCGGGCATAAAACCACTACAGACTATTTCACCTACATCTACTCAAGACTGACTCAAAGACTACTCTGTAGCTTTAAAGTATCATTAGCGTCTCTTGAAAATAAGGAATTTATATGCCATCTAGGGCTAGAGTAGGTAAGGCAATCTGCCGGCACACAGCTGACCCGGGTTCCATCCCTGGCATCTCAGAAAGTCTCCCAAGCACCCCCAGGAGTAATTCCTGAATGCAGAGATGGGAGTAACCCCTGAGCATTGCCAGGAATGGCCCAACCCTCCCATGCCAACTTTCCCCTCGATGACGATATCTTAATAAATTTCCCGAAAATTAAAATCAACTTTATAAACATGTCTGTTTCTTTGTTTTTCTTGGTCTTCCCCATATGTCCCTTTACTCTGAGTAACCTTCCTTGACTATGTATGCCTAGCACAACTCCAACCTAAAACAACAAAAGGTATAAAGAGTTGGGGAGAATGAGGTCTACCATCGGCTAAGTCAAGGGCAGAGATGCACTCTGTGGTCAGCAGGCCAGGGATGCCCCACCTGAGAGACAGCTCATGAACTGGGAAGTGGGGGGAAGCAGACACACTCCGAGGGGGGGAGAAAGCCCCTGGGCCTTTGCTTCAGGTTAGTGCAGGGACAAGAAGGAGGGCAGAGAATGTGGGGACAAGCAGGACCAACCTCCTGCACAGCTTTCTTGCCTGCCAGAGAGCCAGATGTAGAGTCGTCAGAAAGACACGAGGATTTATAGTTGCTCATTGGTGAATGAACCAAGTAAATAACAATGAACCCCATTAATGAGCT